CCCCTCCAAAAAACAAAAAAACAAACAAACAAACAAACCCAACAACAGCAACAATGAAAACAACAACAAAATAATTTTTAATACAGACCGTGTCGGGACGACAAGAGACCCGGACGCCACTTCACACTACGCCGTCTCCTGTCACTGGTGCTTCCTTTCTTTCCAAGGAGGTCGTTTTATCGTTCATCAAAGCCTCCTTTCTTTCCAAGGAGGTCGTTTTATCGTTCATCAGTGCTTCCTTTCTTTCCAAGGAGGTCGTTTTATCGTTCATCAGTGCTTCCTTTTATTCCAAGGAGGTCGTTTTATCATTCATCAATGCTTCCTTTTATTCCAAGGAGGTCGTTTTATCATTCATCAATGCTTCCTTTCTTTCCAAGGAGGTCGGTTTATCGTTGTCCTGAATCACATCTTCCATGGCAACCCCCTTTGTCTCCGGCAAAGCCCACACAGCAGCACAACATACCAGCGCCATGGCGCTCATAATTAGATAAGACACGTATATCGATTCGAAGTCACGTGGTATGACGTAGGGGGCCACGATACTTCCAAGTCTCGCCCCGGTCACAGCAAACCCGTAGCCGAGGTTCCTCACGACAGTTGGAAACAGCTCCACAGAGAATGTGGTGAGAGTGCATAAAAGGTGTTGTAGCCAGTTGGCGGTGACCAGTGCCAAACAAGTGATCGTGATTCCTCGTACAGATCCCGAAGTCGTGAAGAAAACAACAACGATAGAAACGAAACCGAGAAATACTAGACTAAGAAATATTAGCAGAGCCCATCTCCTCCCCAGCGTGTTGCCCAATACCGGGACTAGAAATGACAGCGGGATTGGAACTAACGAGTACAGAATGAAATTCACATAAAAGTCGCCGTAGAGAGACTCGACACCAAAGCCTATAGCGAAAAACATTGCACTTGTAAGAAAGTACGTTAGGGTTACTAGAATGGTTTTTTTACGCAGAGAAGCCTGGAAGAGTATGAAGACACCGTACTTGGCAGAATCTTCTTGACTGTGGTTACAACCTTCTGTCATTGCATCCGAACCGAACTTTGTATCTCGCATCTCCATTCCATTAAAACGGCAGATCTGGGTGACGACTTTCTCGGCTTTTTGCATTTTCCGGTGCACGAGTAGCCAACGCACGCTGTCCGGGACCCAGACAGCGGTGAGTAAGGCCAGTAGCGAGAGAGCGGCTGTGGCCAGGTGCACGAGACGCCAGTCCCTCAAAAGCATAATGCACACCCCAAACAACAGAGTTGCCACATGCCAGCAGGGCAACCCAGAAATGACAGGACGCCATTTTGGCTTGACAAACTCCATGGCGTAGATGTTGGATGCGGCAAAATTCCCTCCAACGCTGACGCCGATGAAGAAACCGACGACTGTGTATGCCTCCCAGGACGTTGTTAGGTAAGCAGCAATGTTGCAGAGCATGCCAAAAGTCACAAAACCGTACATGCTCAACTTACGACCGCACTTGTCCCCGATATACCCACAGATGTAGCTCCCTGCAGCCACGCCAGACATCTGTATGGAGATAATCAACGACAAGATCCAAGCTCGATCACAGACGAGGTTCCACTCTGTTGCCACGGTTCGAGCTTCCCAGTGATTAAACTGTATGTTTTTACATCGAGGATATTTCTCACAAGAGCTGTGAGTGAAGTTTGCCGTGCTTACTGACGAGTCATCTCTGACGTCTGCTCCAGGCGGGAGCGCCCCTGATGAAGCGTTGTCGCTCAAACTTCCGGTTATTGAGATTCCAGGCACATCATAAAGGCCTTGCAGAGGTCTCGACCACAGCGAGGAAGAAAGATTTTCGGCCCGACCTCCATCAATTGTCTCAAAAGCTGGAAAAGGATAAATAAAAAAAAATATATATATCTCATACTTACTCCGGTATTAACTGCAGCTCAAAAGAATAGTATCGTCTTAAGTAGACTACAATTTTCAGTGTTACGATAAGACAACATAACATAACATAACATAACATAATATAACATAACATAACATAACATAGCATAACATAACATAACATAACATAACATAACATAACATAACATAACGTAACGAAACGTAACGTAACATAACACAACATAACATAACATAACATAACATAACGTAACATAACA